CCCTACAATGGACCTCGGAACCCACACAGGGGGCTTGGTACTATGGATATCGCAACCTTTCAGCCTTGATTCCATGATAGATACCGTAAATCTGGGAGAAATGTGGCTTTTCTGCCTACTCCCGGGCATGAACCCGGACCACAAGGAGTTCGTCACTCAGTCGCCCCACAGTCAGATTTAACCAACTGAGCTAGTCGAATTGATAGTACTACACTGAAGTCGTCCCCTTGTGGTATGTAATTTTTTTTTGTTATTTTGAAGCACCACCTTGGCTTCTGCCGGGGGCCCTGAATATAGCCAGGGCCTAGCCATAAGATATGGCCTAACGCATGAAAGGTGTTTCTGGGACCTCTCCACGGGTGATCCTCGTCCACATGGTGGCACTTCGTGTCACCGGGTGTTTATAGCTTCTGTGATGTCCTGGTGGGGTACAACTTACCTACTTACCTAAAGTTTTTATTGTCTATAATCTTTCGAAATATTCGGTTATTAACCAAAAAAAAAAAAAAAAAAATGTCTACACTGTTGTCCGGTTGGTCACTGTTCAATCCATCTTCCAAAATTGTCAGCCAAAAAAAAAAAAAACTTATTATTTACAACTGTAATATTTAAATATAAATTTTCCTTGTGTGAAACTAGTATTTTACAGTATCAAAATTTACGTGAATAAATACTGTCATTTTTAACAAAACAAGGGCTTGTATTTGCGAGGCAGATTTGACTCACAACTAAAACGTAACTTTTCCAAACTGTTGAAATTAGCTAGTTAAAACTAGAAACTGTGATAACTTCTGGTCTATACTACATGTTTGTTAATGAGCGGAATAAAATTGTGTGTTCACTAGATTCTTGTGGTTGAGTTTTTATACCACCGCACTACTCACACTGTTATTTGGATCTCTGTGGGTTTGACATGCGCGCTTGCAATCTCATGGGCCAAGTTCAAAGGTTCTGAAACTGTTGGTTGTGGAACTTTTGTCAATGTGTTTATGCCAACAGTGTTTTCTCTCGCGCCCTCTCTCTCTCTCTCTCTCGCTCTCTCGCTCTCTCTCGCCCTCGCTGTATTGCTCTCTCTAACACTCTCTTGCCCTCACTCTCTCTCGCTATCCCTCTCGCACCCTCTCTCTCTCATCACCGCTCTCTCTCTCTCTATCTCTCGATCTCGCTCTCTCGCTCTTGTTCTCTCTCGCTCTCCCTTGCTTGCTCTCTCAGGGTAGTTGGGAGGGGGGGGGGGCGGGGGTTGGTTCAAGCTGTACGTTAGATATGACTAATTCACCGCTGCGTTACTGCCTCGTTAGCCCGACCCGGTGTCGTCAGCAGAACGGCCCGTCAGCTAGAGCCGATCGCGGTCAAGCAATCTTATCTGTTGTTCTTTAATGAACTTTCAGTCCTAACTTTCTTCGAGTTTCTTTTTGTTTCCCATTGCTTTCCATTCCTGTTAGACAGCAAGCTCTTCTAAGAAATTTCATCTCTGTAGTTGCAATTCTGCACTCATAAGTTGTAGTAAAGGTCCATGTTTGACACTTACAGCTCAATGTTGGCCACACATAGTTATTATTAAACCTGCTTTGATAAATCAAAGAAAGGCATAAGAAAGGAAACAAATATTTGAAATTGAGAGAAAAACAAAAACAAAAAACAAACATGGGAAGTCTAACCTTGTCAACAAATCCTGCAAAAGTAGGATGTGTCGGCTGAAAGGCGTCAATATCGCAGCCATGTTGTTAACGATCACTAGACTTTTAAAAAAAAAAAGGGGGGGGGGGGTGGGGCATGGCTGGGTAGGGCAGAGGATGTTATCGTGAAGGTCTGCAGCCTTACAGATATCCATCCAGGTGAGGAAAGGATACTAGTCTAATCTCACATTATCCTGTGTCGTGAGGCTTGATAGGAGTTGTTGGGGCCAGAATCCTGTTACTGTCAATGTCGAGGTATGCGCGCTTATCAGTGACAAGTCAGATGAGACAGATGTGCTGATCTTCACAGACGGGTCCGTTATACATAAGAGTGCATGGGCATTTACAGCTCGCTCTTCATGCAGAACAGTTCAAGAAGCCAGCGGTGCTTTCTCCATGACCACCAGCAGCATGACGATGGAGGTGATGGCGGTGACACAAGCTTTCATGGGGCTAGAATTACAGGACTATTCCTGCGTGTGTGTGCTGAGGAGTTCTTTCAGCATGATCCGGCGGGTCGAGGCATGCTGGTTACGTAGACGGTGGACTGAGTCACTGCAAAACTATCCTGTGTGTACAGTTACCTTCATATTTGTCCCAGACTATGAAGGTATTGCTGGTTATGAAAGAGCTACTAAACTCGCAGGTGTCGCATTAATTGAAGATGGCCGGCCCATGGATCACGCAGACATTGTCAATGCCCTTAGAGAGATAGGATTTCGGAAGCAACGTGTCCACATCACTGCTAAGAATACGAGAATTGGGAATAAAGATCGGCACAGCCAAGCATGAGAAGCACACCGGACGCACAGAAAATCATGTCAACCAGCGTAGGACTGGCACTATTAACCGCGCGACGCTGATGAATATTTAAGAGAGGAGTCTGAGACACCTATAGGTGTGTCTGGAGTTCTGTGAAGATAATCCAACTCATAACTCAAACGGACACAACGCATTTACATCTTCGGATGAACGCGGAAGAAGAAGAAGAAGAAGAAGAAGAAGAAGAAGAAGAAGGAACGATAAACCGAAAATGGTCAGCAACTTAAAAAACTTAAGTCACTGGAAAAAGAATCGGAGTAAATAGAAAGATGGAGTACAAACTTCGGTCGGCCTGTTCGTGTATTGAATACCCCTGGGGAAGAGAGACTCGGAGTTTTCACAAATAAATTATCAGGAAAGAAAGCACTCATAAAAGATTTGTCGTCCTTCCATCAGGTCCAGTTTAGACGTCGAATGCCAAGTGCAGTCGACAAGTTGACGAGTCGGATTGCTTGAGCGGGTCTTTTCTTAAACACCCGGAAATAGAATTCCCACATTAAGGGGGACAATTATTCCTGGGCTTGATATTGAGAATGTCCCGGGAACTGGTCGTTTGGGGACGGGAAATAAGGCCTGGAATTTGGTTAGAGAAAGTTCTTTTTGCCGTCTACTCGACGTCTGTTGTGTTTTCACAAGGATCAAACATGGGTAAATAAGGGAAGAAA